AATTACATTCAACAAAATGGGCGACTAATTGTGAAATTTAAAATGTGAAATTAATTCCGAACGGAATCTTTAATAATGCATTCAATATAGTTATCTAATTTCAACTTGATTATGACTTCAAAGAGGTGTTCGGGCGCCAGTACCTCCAAAAAATAAAATAGTAGTGTTCGGGCGCCAGTATCGCAAAAAATTCGAATAGTTAATTTAAATACTTAATAAATAATTTAGAAGTACTGAATTTAATTAAAAACAAGAATTTAATTAAAATATTTAATATAATTTAGAAGTACTGTTCGGGCGGCAGTCTCTCTATATTGCAAAATATAATATTTAAGTAGAATCAATTTCACGTTTACAAGTCTCATACAAGAAGCGAAAAATAAGTATATGGTAAATGAAAGAGCAAAAAAATCACCCGTTAATAAAAAAAAAACGACAACATATTATAAAATGGTCTATATGAGAATATTCCCATAATTTATTATAGATATTTACGTATATAATTTACTCTAACAATATAAAATTCATAAAAAATATAAAAATTTTCCTCATTTTGCATTACTTTTCTCTTCCCACATTAAATAATAAACATAATATAAATAGGAAAATTTCTAAATTCTATGGAAAATTTTACAATCTGTTAACTGTTTATAATAAAAATCAAATCCTTTATAAAAAAAAAATTAAACATTTTCTTTAAGAAAATAAAAGGACAAAACTCATAAAGCATAAATTCTCTCAACTTAGATTTATTTAGTATTTTTGTTTCTCAACAAAACCATTTTAAATATTGTACTAAAAGAAAAATTTTTTTCCCTCCCATTTTTCAGCGTTGACTAGTACTCACATTATGAAAAATTTCAATATTTGTAATTCATAGAATATCTTAATGCATTTAAGAATTTTAACGGTATAATGCAGAAGAATCTTCATATTTACAGTGTCTTATTTATGGAAATTTCTAAAAAATATAAGATTAGAACAAAAAAAAATTTCGAAAATATTTTCTGTTCACTTTTCTTTCCAAAATTTCTAATATTTTACAACTACAACCAAAAATTTTTCTCTTATTATTCTCTACAATGTTAAGAATATTCTCTTGAAATCCTGGCAAATAAAGCAAATATTGTTTGATTTTTGTTTTCCATCTTTTCCTGTTAAAGAAATTGTAAGTACTTATTACAGTCTACATTCTGTCTCATATCTTAAATTTCATGTTAGTCATTTCAATTTTAAAAAATATTGTGTTCTTTAAAAATAAATCTTTTATACATGTAGGTATAAATATGACCACATTATGAAAATTAGATTATACTTGTAATGTCCTTTTTCTAATTAATTATAATTAATTATAATAAGCACAATTATATTGCATAAATTTTGTACATTTACATTTTGAGAAAAACTTCATATTTTAACGTTCTTTTAACTTGAAATCCCTCTTCATCTATTTATAATTATTTTTTAAAATCTATCACAATAGAACGTGAATGTCCTTGTATACAATTAGATAACCAAAGTCTGTCCAATATCGGGATGAAAGCATGGTAAAAAAAAAAAATTCCAAAATAAGGTTATGCTTCATATTAATATTGAGAACAAAATTGCGAGTCTCCGAAAGAATTCTAAATTTTAAGCAATTAACAGTCGTATAATTGCTGTGAGCTTTGGTAAAACAGAATACCCTTAGATATATTCTAAAAGTAAAGACTATGACTGGTTAATTTAACACGAATTTCTAAAATTTTTTTTAAAATTATTGCTATTTAACTAATTACATGCAATTTAATTTTTACATCTCCTATCTAATAGATTTCACTTAATACTACAATTATAATTAAATAATTATTCTACTAATATTAAGGAAAATTTCAAGTCTCTAACAATCAAATTTTAGTTTTAAAGAAAATTAATTATTTTTTTTCTAATCTTCTTCTCAATTAATATTTCTCGGACTCATCTTATATTTTTTGCTATTATAATAGAACCAACAGTTACCACCTATTGCATAGATTATTATTATATCTCAATACAACCATAAACATTTTGTATTACATAAGTTTAAAAACTCTCTAACTCTACACATTTTATTCTACAAAATTAAAAATAACAAAACTATAAATTAAAACTATCTATATTTTAGTTATTTTCTACATAATATAAACAGAATAGAACTAGTATAAAATAATCAACATCATCATCACCATCCTCTTCATCATTACTATCACTATTATAGTATATAAAATTATCAACATTATCACAATATACCCTCCTCATTTCAAAAAAAAAATTTTTTAAGAAAAAAAAACAAAAATTCTAAAATTTACTCATAAAAACACATAATAGTATACTCTTCTCTGTTACTGTTATAAAAACTTACATAGCACTAACATAACAGTGCCAATAACATTATATTTTATATAAAATCTCTATTCCCTTTCATAAAATAATGTAAATTCTGTTATAGTATGAAATACTAACACAATTCTGAAGAAATAAAACTAAAAAAGAAAAAACAGAAATTAAATTGAAAAAATATGAAAAACCAAGAAACTAAGAGAGAAAAATTTGAAAAAGAAAATGAAAATTTCAAAAAAAAAAAAAAAACACAAATAATCACACTAATAATAAAATAAAGTTTGAGTAGAGTTAGTTTGTTGAGACTGAGAGTAGTTAAAAAAGAACTCATAAGCATAACATAAAAAAGGGAAGGAGACAAGAAAACACAACACAAAAAAAAAAATATATAAGGAAAGGCAAAAAAAAAAAAACGGAATATAAAGCAATAACAACAACAGCAACAAGAACAGTGAAAGCGACAGCAGCAAAAAAAATACTAACAGAAATCAGAAGAAAAAACAAAAAAAGAAAAATAAAATGAGAAAAAAACAGTTTGGAATTGTTTGTTTTTTGTTTTTTTGTTTTTAGCCTGAGAAAGGTACAATGATTCGTTTTGAGATTAGACAATTTTAGTCCATTACGGATTGTTGAGGGGTGACCATCGAAAATCACTCTCTCTCTCTCTCATAATTTTTTTTTGACAATACCTTAAACATAATTCTTTTTTTTTTGATTTTGTGCATTCTTCTTGTGTGTGTTTATATTGTGCATTTTTTTTTTTATTTGAAATTAAATTTGAACTCTCAAAGTTGTTAAAGGTAAAAAGAAGAAACAAAAAAAAAAACATACCTTGATTTTTGTGTTAAAAAAAAAAATTTTTTTTTTTTATTTATTCTAAATTCACCGTCATCGCATAATTATCCTTTTCGGAATTAATTTTTTTTTTGGTTTTGTTTAATAACGTCAGTTCAATTGTAAATTTTTGTAATTTGCATTAGATTTTTTTTTTTTTTTTTTGGTTTTTTTTATTAATATTTTGATTTTCAAAGGAAAATATTAAAAAAGAGAATTAAAAAACAAAATAATGAGAAAATTTTTTACCGTTGTTTCAAAAAGTATATAAAAGTTTAAAGAAAGAGATAAAAGGATTGTAAAAATGTGAAGAGTAAGAAAAAGAAAAAAAAAAAAACAACTGTTATACTCTAGTATCTTTGAATAATATGGTGAATAATATACTGTTATAATATGTGTAGATGTGCGTGCATATTTTATAAATGTATGTATGTATACATATGTGAATATCGATGATTTTTATTTTTTTGCTTTTTCTGATTTTTGGAGAAAAAGGAATTTTTTCTTTTCATGTTTTTTTTCTGATTTGTTTTTTTTTTGTATTAAAAAAGATGATCCCTTCGTCTTATATTTGAACATGTGGGCATCTCATTCATTAATCAGATGTGAAATGATAAAGACATAAGAGTATTATATATATAAATAAAAATATTTATATATATATATATATATAGAATTAATTTGAACTTTATAAATAATATTAATGTACCTATATAGGTACTTGTGTGTATATAAACGCAATTAAATAATAAGAAAGAATTAAATCGGAAAATATTAAAGACGGTCTTTCAAAATTTTTCTCGTTTTATTTGCAAATTTTGTCCAGAATTTTTTATTTACTATTAATAAGTTTGGATTTAATAAATTAATTATATATAAGTTTCTTATTTATTAAATAATTTTTAAATATTGTGAATTTGGAAAAAATTTAAAATCACAGAAAATAATATTAGAGTTTAAAATATGTGAAAAATTACGAATACTATATTGAAAATTTGAATTGAAAAATAATTTGGAATTTGTTTTTGAGTAAAAAATAATATTTAATTTGGAATATTTTTGATTTTAATATAAAAATAATTATTATTAACTTAAGATTTCTATGAATTCTACTTGACTACTTATAAAAAACTTAATTCTTATAATTAGCAGAGAACTATTCTAAATATAAAATATTCCTCTAAAAATTTTATATTAAATGTGAATATTATTAAAATTTCAAATACACTATTAAAATTTTGTATAACAATTTGAAAAGGATTATTAAAAAATTATTATTAGAATATTGAGTGCCATAATGTATAAGTCAAATGAATTCATGCTTTATTAAAATTATAATAAAATTTCAATATTGACATTGAAAATTTTTAATATAACAAAAAAACTAACCTAAATTATCCTAGATTATCCTTGATTAAATAAAGTGATTTCAATAAAATAAAAATTTTCCTATAAAAAATTTATGAATTTTTTTTCAAAATTTCCAAATCCCAATAATTTTGTACACATTAATGAATGAATAACAAGAATATTTTTTGCGAATTACAAAATTTGTAATATTGAAAATTAAAAGATGAAACGATTTAAAAAAATAATTTTAAAAATTCTTAGCTGACACAGAAAAAAATTTAAGAATTATAAAAGAAAACTAAACAATTTTTTTTAAATATATAAGAACTTTGTTTTTCGGAAAAAAAATTTTATATATACATAATTTTAAAATTTTAATTTCTTTAATTTTCAAATCAAGTAAACAAGGATTTTTATTAATCAATAAATATAAATAAAATTTTATAAATGTGTGATTTTTGGAGAAATTATAAAATTTATCATTTTAATAGAATTTATCAAAAATATCAAAATATTAAAATGTTATCAACAAGTGAGGATGCTGGATTTAGATCATTTAGTCGTAAGTTTTTAATAACTATTTCTATTTTTTTTGCTTATTAATTAAATATTACTGAAAAAATTAAAAAAGATTCATCATAAAAACTATTGAATTGTTGCATACGTACACAGATTAAGCTCCAAAATGTTTGTATCAAATTCTCTATTCAATGAAATGAATAGAGCATTATGTAACCTTAAAAAAGGGCTACTTGTACACTGTGTTACATAATTGAATTACTCATTTATATAAGTCTAAATAAATACATTTAAGAATATGCATGAGTAAGCAAATTATCACTGAATTATAGCTGTCCAGGAGTAATTCAAAAATTTATAGGAATTGATTTAAATTATTGGAAGTAACTATAATATTTCTGATTAAGTTCAACTTCAAAATATAATTCGGCATTCAAGTTCTATTAAATCATTTGTGAAATATAAAAAGTTAGAAAGGAAAAAAATTTAGAAATTTAGTATAAGTTCTTGCATTTTTCTAAATATAATTTTCATTTCAATATAAAAATATTATTGAATAGTACAATGCCTAAGCATTCACCTACTAAAATTTCTCTCTATCTATATTTTTTTCATAATAATTAATTCTGCTTCTATTTTCCAATAATAATAAATTGATATCTTTTGAATGTTTTAATATTTTCCTTTAATAAATACAAAATTATTATAATTTGAAACAGGATATTCCAAAAAATTATTATTACATGCACACATACAACTAATTCAAATAAGTATCCACCAAAATATAAATACCAAACTATATACGAGTACCATAATACCGGAAATCATAAACATGTGTACATTATTATTTATTCTAAGAACGCATAAAGTGTGAAAAAAAAAAATTAGAAAATCTCAAAATATAATTTCATTATTTTTTATATATGAAAATAATATGAAACGTAATTTGAAACCCCCTGACCAAATTGTCCGTGCTATTTATTTCAATATAAATCTTATAATATTCTAATCCCTAAATCTATAAAAAGTATCCTTAATTCCTTATATTTTGTTAATGAATTTATGTACGTATAAATATGTAATATTCATTTATATGCGCATTTTGATATCAATATGTAAAAGTATGGGTAAAATTTTTTGTGTTGAAAGCCCATAAGAAATCTAAAATACTCGCCATTTATAGATTTTTTTTATAGAAAAACAGATTTATGGTACAAAGAAAAGAAGAAACGACTACATATAAATAAGTAGTTTTCTTTATATGTTTTAATTGCATGTTTAAGAAATTAAGTCGCGTATTTAAATTTTGCCGCCGACAACTTAAAATAAACGGGGGAAACAAATAAGTAAAGAAGAATAAAATGAAAAGAAATTTCTTCCTGTCTTCCTTTTAAATGACTTTTTCTTTTTTCATAATTTTTTTCTCAATTTATGTGGCTAGCCTTTATGAAAACGGAAAGCAAAGAAATATAAGCAATCATTCTCTCCTTTATCTGAATTTAGGATTAGTATAACTTTATAATTGTTAATATTGTTCTAAGAAATGGAATGAAAACATTATGCAACTGAATTCATTGCGAGCTAGCGCATTAAACACGTGGAACACAATGTACAAGCAAACGGATATTTTTTTCTGTATGTTCTTTTCTTATATCCGTTCTTGTCACCTTGAGTTTTAAAATGTTGTCTTTTGTTTTGTCCTCCCATTATTAGTTATTCAATTTACGTGTCCAAAAGTCCTTCGAATCAGTCCTCCTAAAAAGTCCTCAGTCGTTCATGTAAATAAATGAAAATTGAAATGAATAAATTGAGAAATCAGACCTGAAAAGATCTGAGATTCAAGAATGAATCAGAATTGAAAAAAAGATCATTTTTAAAGGAATATACCACTGAAATAGAGACGGTACAACAGAAAGAAACCAAATAGGACACATTTTTTTCTTTAATACATAAAAAGGAAGAATAAAGTAATCAAAAATTTTTGACACGATCTTACGGATAACAAATTTTATGTTCTGCTTTCTTTTTCTCTCCCTTGTAACATTCACATAAGTTGTAACATTAAGTGTTTTAATTTTAATTTTGAAAACTTTTCATTTTCAACACCTTTATTTCTTGCTCTTCATTATATTGCTCCTTATTCATGTTGTGTTTGCATGTACAAAATGATAATGACAAAATCGGAAAAGAAAAAAAAAAATTCTGTTGGACGGATGTTTGCTTTTTTTTTTTCTGTATAAGATTTTTGTTTTTGGATCCACCAAAGTAAAGATCAGAAAAAGAACAAACCATTAAATTAGTACACCGAAAGTGAAATATGGGGTTTACATTTTTTATAGTACAAAACATCCGAAGATATAAAAATTAAACAAAAATATAAAGATGGGATTATATGAGAATTTGAATGTGTGTAGTTAATTTAGCGACGAGGGTATAGTGAACAAATTGTTCTACTAATAGTTCCAACAAAAATTTTAACTTGTTGTTAATTGTTATAGACGATGTAAGACGTCTTCTTCCTCTTCTTGTCATGAAATGTAAGAGGTAAGGAGTAAGTTAATTTTCCGATGAGCCGTTTTTAAATTTTCTTTCTCTTAATAAGTTCAGATTGATTTACCGGCCTTGTTATGGTTGATGAAATCAAATTTTCTAAGGGAATTGAAGAGAGCGGAAAAAATAAAGACAAGAAAAAAATTTTGGTGATTTTTTCCAAAAATCGTTGTCTCATTTCGAACTGTATTGTAATTTAGAACTAATAGTACAAATATTAAGAGTATGCCTGGAATCAAAATCAATTTTTTCATTATTATTGTTATAAAGAGTTATTTCCCATTGATAAGAATAATTGCCGAAATTTTATGTCAAACGTTCAACTATTATACTGATTCAAAAAAACACCCAAAACTTCATTTTATCACACTAAACGATTATTTGTTACGACAGAACACCATAATTAAACCAGCGTCGCAACCTCGTTAAAATCGGAAGAGAGCAGTACGTTTATTTTAAAACTGAAGTAAACAAGAACAAGAGACATATCGGGTCAGTAAAATTTTTGTGTTACTTGGCAACTAAACACCAAATATTTAATTAAACATTAAATTTCCCTTATTTCTTACTAAGGAACAATAGCCGTCGCAAATACCAGGCAGAAATTTATTATTCTAAGATCTACAAAACTGTTATAATTTGCGCATCTTCTTAAAACGTTTCAAATCCAATATTATATTTTAAGTCAAACAAAACCAACAGCCCCATCATTTCTTAAATTAAACCAAGTTTTAAAAAAATATTTTTTTTTTTTTCAAAATTTAAGGTGCAGCGGAGCCATCTCTTTCTTTAAGCACGTACAATAAACATATCGTAATCACGTAATTATAAAATGTCTGTCTGGACATCTCAGTTTCAAAAAATAAAAATAAAAGATAAAAATTATAGTTGTGCTTTTTTTTTCTTGTAATTTAACGTTATTCACAATCGTATAAGTACTTTTCTTTTGATTGTTTTTAATAATAACAAGAGATAATAAAGTTGTAGTAATTGTCAAAAAATGTCAAAATTTTCATAAGAAAAAAACAAAATAGGAAATTTTTTTTTTGTTCTTTTTCGGCTTTAAAAAATGAATAATACCTTGTACCTGTTCGTTTGTTTATTTAATATAAAAAAAATACCTACAATTTTCACTTACCTTTTCTTTATGTAAGTCACTGTTCCAAAAATAAAATCAGCCAAAAGAAAAAAAATTTTTTTTATCGTATGTAGACTGTGTTGTTTAAGCAAATAGAGGAGAAGATTATTTTTCACGTATATTGCCAAGTATATAAGATTTTTTTCGAAATAACAGCGAAAACGAAATTATTAAAATGATTCAGAAATAAGAAAACAAAACTAAAGTTCTTCGTTTTTTTATCTTTTTGTATAACAAAAATCATGTAAATAAGTAAAAGATATTTGATCTATTTTGATTTTGATAAGATTATATTTACATTTTTTCAACATACTTACATACATACTTAATGTATAGTGAGAAAATTAAAAACGTAGACGTTGTACATATTATACTGTTATACACTGTTATACACATACGGAATTTTACAATTTTAATAGGAAAAATTTAAAATTTGTTATTAAAGCAACAGTACTGGCGATGACTTAAAATTAAACAAAAAAAAAAAATTTTTTTTTGTAAAACTTAAACAATGAAACTTGTATTTTTGGAACTATGCCACACTAAAACTATATTCTTGAGAGTACCATTTTAGTTTTATTAAAAATAAGAATGAATAAGACTTGAAAATATTTAAAAAAATAAAGTCTTATTTGTTTTAATTTTATAATCTAAATTAACATTGTAATTTTGTTTGAATAATGATCCGTCACCCAGAATTAAGATAAAAATTTCTTATTTTGTTTCAGTTTTAACTTATTACAATAATTTTGTTGGACGTACAGATAACGTTTGCGTGTTGTTTTACATGTAAAGAAAAATTATCTTGCGTCATTTATTCACTAACTTATAAGATGTTAGAATAGCTGTCGTATAAGATGTTAGCTGATTTATAATTCGAATTTACAATAGATTTGTGCATCTTAGATTCAGGAAAAATGGGAATGTATGCTCTTAAATCTGTTCTAAATTTATTCTAATTTCCAATATAAATAATTTGTAAATAAATTTGAAACAGGCGTCTAATTCGATTTATTCATAATATTTTATTTAATTTTCTATTGACCGACCGATATTACATCGATATTATTATAATTCTCTACATTAGCTCAATATTAAATGTGTGTCATCTATATCATAACATTAAATGTATTTTAAACTCAATATCATTACTATGTTTCATAGTCCAATATTGTAATTCACAATAGCAATTTTGTCTATCAGAGCATTCTATAGTAACTAATAATGTTATTAACAATTTTTTCAAATTGCAGTTTCCTATATTGAATTAATTGTTGTATTTAATGCCGAAAATAGTCGAAATTTTGACAATTTAATTTTTAAAATTTTTGTATAAAAAACTTCTAACAACAATC